CGGCTGTGGGGTCCCCTTTCCCTGTGGGATCGGCTCCCCATTCCCTGTGGGATCGGCTGTGGGGTCCCCGTTCCCTTTGGGATCGGCTGTGGGGTCCCCGTTCCCTTTGGGATCCCCTCACTCCCCATTCCCTGTGGGATCAGCCGTGGGGTTCCATCATGCCCCATCCCCTGTGGGGTCCCCGTTCCCTTTGGGGTCCCCTCACTCCCCGTTGTCCCCCTCGCTCCCCGCAGTACCTGCGCAAGAAGAACGCGGAGCTGGAGGAGCTGTACCGGGACAAGGCGGTGCCCAGGCCGGACTACTGGTGAGACTGGGGGGGCTGAGTCCCCCCGAGCCCCCCAAATCCCCCCGAGCCCCCCAAATCCCCCCGAGCCCCCCCCCGATCGCGGCTGTCCCTCGCAGGGGCGCGTACGTGGTGGAGCCGGAGCTGGTGGAGTTCTGGCAGGGCCAATCGAACCGGCTGCACGACCGGATCGTGTTCCGGCGCCTGCGGGACCGCGCGGCGCCGCTCGGGGCCATGACCCGCCGCGGCCACGGCGACTGGGTGTACGAGCGCCTGGCGCCGTGAGCCGGCCCGGGATGGCCCGGGATGGGCCCGGGATGGGCCGGGAACGGCCCGGGAATGGCCCCGGGATGGCCCGGGATGGGCCCGGGAATGGCCCCGGGATGGCCCCGGGAATGGCCCCAGGAAATGTCCCCAAGTGTCGCAGCCGCCCCGCCCTGTCCCTCGCTGTGTGCTGGGGATGGGCCCGGAGCTGCCCCCGCCCCGTCTGCAGCCACTCCCCGTGGTTAATTAATCGTGTTAATGATCGTGCAGGGTCCGGCTGTGACCCCAGTGACCCCCCTGTCCCTGTCCCATCCCTGTCCCATCCCTGTCCCCATCCCTGTCCCTGTCCCTGGCCATGTGCTGGGAATGCCTTCGGAGCTGCCCTCAGCCCGGTGTGTCCCCAAATCCCTCTGCAGCCGCTCCCCGTGGTTAATTAATCGTGTTAATGATCGTGCAGGGACCAGCTGTGACCCCCCTGTCGCTGTCCCTGTCCCACCACTGCCGCCTCTCTCTCCGTGTTTTAGCTGCAATCGTGGCAATTATTTTAGCATGGAACCGTGCTCAGTTCCCAGGTCATTACTGCTGTTGTTTAATTAACTTCAATCGTGTCCCCGCTGCCGTGCCCTGTCCCAGGGCCCCAGGTGAGACCCCAACCCTCGGCCCGTCCCTCCTCCAGCTGCCGGAAAACAGCAATAAATCAGCATTTATGTGGAGGCGTGGAGCCTTTGGTTATTTAGCACCGGGTTAATGTTTAGCCAGGCAGGGCCGGGCTCTCCCGGGACAGCGGCGAATCCCGGGCCTGGACCCGGCCCTGGCTGGAACCGGCTCCAAAACCGGCCCCGGTTCTGCGTCTGCTGTCCCGGAGCGGGACCAATCCCAAAATCCAGCCCCGGTTCTGTGTTTGCTGTCCCGGAGCGGGACCAACCCCAAAACCGGCCCCGGTTCTGTGTTTGCTGTCCCGGAGCGGGACCGTGCCGGTCCCGGGGATGCCAGGCCAGCCCTGGCACGCAGGCACAGCGGCCACGGCGCTGTCACCGCCTTTGTGCCACTGTCACAGCCCCTGGTGGCTCTGGAGCCTTCCCCGCCTTGGGAAGGACGGGAGGGGACGGAGCGGTGTCGCAGGAGGGGACACGGAGCTGTCCCGGGAGGGGACACGGAGCTGTCCCGGGAGGGGACTCGGGGCTGTCCCGGGATGGGCACGGGGCTGTCCCGGGATGGGCACGGGGCTGTGCCACATTCCTGGGCAGGGGCAAAGGGACCGGGGGGCTCCTCCCGCTCCCGCTCCCGTTCCCGTTCCCGCTCCCGCTCCCGCCGGGACAAAGTCCGGGATCCCAGCGCGACGGGAACGGGCTGAGAGCGCACAGAGCCGGGGCGGGACCGGGACCGGGACCGGGGAGCTGGCACCGAGAAACCGGGAAACAACCGGGAAACCGGGAAATCGGGAAACCGGGAAATCGGGAAACCGCGAAATCGGGAAATCGGGAAAACCGGGAAATCGGGAAACCGCGAAATCGGGAAACCGCGAAATCGGGGAACCGCGAAATCGGGAAACCGGGAAATCGGGAAATCGGGAAACCGCGAAATCGGGAAACCGCGAAATCGGGAAATCGGGAAAACCGGGAAATCGCGAAATCGGGAAACCGCGAAATCGGGAAATCGGGAAAACCGGGAAATCGGGAAACCGGGAAATCGGGAAACCGGGAAACAGGAAAATCGGGAAACCGGGGAATCGGGAAAACGGGAAATCGGGACACCGGGAAACAGGGAAATCGTGAAACCGCGAAATCGGGAAATTGGGAAACGGGAAATCGCAAAATCGGGAAAACGGGAAATCGGGAAACCGGGAAACAGGAAAATCGGGAAACCAGGGAATCGGGAAAACGGGAAATCGGGAAACGGGAAATCGCAAAATCGGGAAACCGGGAAATCGGGAAAACGGGAAATCGGGAAACGGGAAATCGCAAAATCGGGAAACCGGGAAATCGGGAAACCGGGAAAACGGGAAATCGGGAAAAAGGGAAACCGGGAAATCGGGAAAACCGGGAAAACGAGAAACCGGGAAACAAGCAGGAAACCGGGGCTGGGCTCGGGAGCCTGGCACCCTCCGGAACCGGGAGCGGCTGGAGCTCAGAGCTCGGAACGGCCGCGCCCTGCGGAGCCGGGATTGTCCGTCCCGGGATCGTCCCGTTCCCCGCGGGCTCCCGGAGCTGGGAGCGCTCCCCGTGCTCCGGCCGGCCCCGAGCGCCCCCATTTCCAGGCGGGCAGCGATTCCCGTGACGGCCGCGCTCTCTCCGGGGCTCCAGAAGTGCCAGGAGGGATCTGCAGTGAATCCCTGGAGCGGCCCCTGCGGGATCAGGAATTCCCGGGGACGGCTCCCAGAGGGACCCAGAGCCTGCCCGCCCCGCCGTGCCGGGTCTGGGGATCGCGGAGTTCCCCGGATCCGCCTCCGCTCCCTCCGCCCTGCCCGGCTCCGGCATTCCCCGGCACGGCCCCGCTCCCCGGAGGGGCGAGAAACGGGGGACAGGGGCTGGGAAACCTGGCGCGGAGAGGAGACCCCCAAAATCCATCAAAATCCACCTAAATACTCCAAATTCCCTCATAACTGCCCTAAAGGGACCAATCCTGCCCATCCAGGGTCCAATCCTGCCCACCCTGGGGGTCCAATCCTGTTCTGACCGGGTCCAATCCTGCTCACCCACCAGGGTCCAATCCTGCCCACCCTGGGGTCCAATCCTGCTACGACTGGGTCCAATCCTGCTCAACCCAGGGTCCAATCCTGACCACCCTGGGGGTCCAATCCTGCTCTGACCGGGTCTAATCCTGCCCTGACTGGGCCCAATCCTGCTCAACCCAGGGTCCAATCCTGTTCTGACCAGGTACAATCATGTTCTGACCGGGTCCAATCCTGCCCATCATGGGGGGTCCAATCCTGCCCCATCATGGGGTCCAATCCTGCCCTGACTGGGTCAAATCCTGCTCAACCCAGGGTCCAATCCTGTTCTGACCAGGTACAATCCTGCCCCATCATGGGCCCAATCCTGCTCAACCCCAGGGTCCAATCTTGCCCAGTTTGGGTCCAATCCTGCCCAGTTTGGGTCCAATCCTGCCCCATCCTGGGGTCCTATCCTGCTCTGACTGGGTCAAATCCTGCTCAACCCCAGGGTCCAATCCTGCCCTGGCTGGGTCCAATCCTGCTCTGACTGGGTCCAATCCTGCCCCGTCCAGGGTCTAATCCTGCTCTGGCTGGGTCCAATCCTGCCCGGTTCGGTCCAATCCTGCTCCCCCTGGGTCCAATCCTGCCCAGTTTGGGTCTAATCCTGCCCAGTTTGGGTCCAATCTTGCTCATCCTGGGTCCAATCCTGCCCGGTTCGGTCCAATCCTGCTCCCCCTGGGTCCAATCCTGCCCCGTTTGGGGCCCTGGAGCTGCCTCTGGGGAGTCAGGGATTCCCCGGGACGGCTCCCGGAGGGATCCCAGAGGGACCCAGAGCTTTCCCACCGCTCCGTGCCGGGTTTCGGGATCCGCCTCCGCTCCCTCCTCCCTGCCCGGCTCCGGGACTCCCCGGCACGGCCCCGCTCCCTCCGCGTCCCGCCGGATCCGGAGCCTTGCCCCGTTCCGGGCCGGATCCCGGGATCCGCGGAGCTCTCCCGGAGCCGCCTCCGCTCCCAGGCTCGCTTTATTAACCACAGTTATTTAGCGGCAGGCGCGAGCGGGGTGGGACCCCCGCTTCCAGCAGCGGGGAGAGACCCCCGAGGAATGGAACGTGGCTCCTCCGGGTGCGATCCCCGGGGAAACGCGGCTCCTCCGCGAGGGATTCCCGGGGAAATGCGGCTCCTCCGCGAGGGATTCCCTGGGAAATGTGGCTCCTCCGCGAGGGATTCCTGGGGAATGGAACGCGGCTCCTCCGGGTGCGATCCCCGGGGAAACGCGGCTCCTCCGGGAGGGATTCCCGGGGAAATGCGGCTCCTCCGGGTGCGATCCCCGGGGAAATGCGGCTCCTCCGGGAGGGATTCCCGGGGAAATGCGGCTCCTCCGGGAGGGATTCCCGGGGAAACGCGGCTCCTCCGGGATGGATTCCCGGGGAATGGAACGCGGCTCCTCCGGGCAGCGATTCCCGGGGATCGGTCCCGCCGCTCGTTCCCTGGGGACACGGAGGTGTCGCATCCCCTCTCGGGGGGGACTCGGCCATCGGCGGCTCCGCAGCCCCTCGGGATCCGGACACGAGCGGGGCTCGGCCCCAAAAAGTAACGGGAGGAGGGGATTGGGATTGGGAATGGGATCGGGATCGGGGGCAGTGTCCTCACTGATCCCAGTACGGACCAGTCCGCGCTGGGCAGGGCCGGGGAGCGCGGGCCCCGCCGTGCCCGGGGCCGGTCCCGCAGCTCCGGGACCATCCCGCGGACAATTCCACAAATCCCATCCCGAGTCCTGCCCGGGGCCCGCGGCCCGGCCGGGTCACTGCTCCTGGCGCTCGCACAGGTTGGGGTGCTCGGCCAGCGTCGCCCGCACTTTCTTCTTCTCCTTGAAGCGGCCGGAGTGCGAGACCTTGACGTGCTTGCCCTTGGCGCTCTTGTCCACGATCTTCTCGAGGCGGGCGGCGAAGCCGGGGCCGCCCTCGGGGTCCGTCCCGTCCGCGCCGTCCCCGCCGGGCGCCGCGGGGCCCTGGGGGCTCTCGTACAGCACCGGGGCCGCCGCCTGCCGCCTCCGCAGGAACGTCAGCTTCCACCAGCCGTGCCCGTCGGCCATCCTGCGGGAGCGGCACCGGGGCTCGGCTCCGTCCGCGGCTCCCGGGGCCGCATCGGGGCCGCGGCGCTGCCCTCCCGGGGATGCTCGGGGCGGATCCCCGGGGCACCGGGGCGGGGCGGGCGCTGCACGACCCGGGAATCCCGGGAAAGCCGGGAAAAGCCGGGAAAGGGCCGCGGGCAGCGCCGGGAGCTGCGCTTATCAGCCGCGTGTGGGAGAGCAAACAGGAACAGGAACTGGGGCGCGGGTGGCGGCACCGGGGAGTGCCGGGGGCGCTGCCGGGCTCCCCCCGCCCCAGCCCGGCCTCGGGGCTCGCCGGGACCCGCCGGGACCGGGGCAGGCTCCGGGAAGGGGCCGGGAGGGCTCCGGAGTCCGGCGTGGCCCCGGGGCACGGACGGGATTCCCAGGCCCGGGGCCAGCCCTGCCCCGTGTCCCCGGCCCTGTCCCCGTGTCCCCGGCCCTGTCCCCGGCCCTGTCCCCGTGTCCCCGTCCCTGTCCCCGTGTCCCCGTCCCTGTCCCCGGCCCTGCCCCGTGTCCCCGGCCCTGTCCCCGGCCCTGTCCCCGTGGCGCTCGGCCACCAGCGAGCCCTCCCGGATGTCGCTTTGGGGATAAAACCCCTTTTCCCTCAGCGACACGGGGTCAGGGGCACGGAGACCGCGGCCACCGCCCCGCTGGTGGCACCCGTGTCCCCAGAGCCGGGCGGGACCGTCCCCACAGTGTCCCCACAGTGTCCCCAGTGTCCCACAGCCCCACAGCGTCCCCGGGGCTCCCACGGCCCATCCCAGCCCGGACACCGCACCCCGGTACCTGCTCCTGCCGCCTCCGGGGGTCCCGGGGGTGTCCCGGGGTTGTCCCTGGGTTGTCCCGGGGGTGTCCCGGGGTGTCCCGGGTGTGTCCCGAGGTGTCCCGGGTGTGTCTCGGGGTGTCCCGGGGTGTCCCGGGGGTGTCCCGGGGTTGTCCCGGGTTGTCCCGGGTGTGTCCCGGGGGGCAGCAGGGGCAGGTGCCGCTCACCTGCGGCTGTCCTGGTGTTCCCGTCAAGGTGAACACGCTCCCAAACCCCTCCTGCCGGAGCAAACAGCGGGGCCGGGCCAGGCACGGCTGAATATTCATGACAGGGAGCGGTGCCAGCCCAGGGAGGGTGGCCCGGAGTGGCCGCAGGTGGCCCTGGGTGGCTCCGGGTGGCTCTGAGCACCTCTGGGTGGCTCCGGGTGGCTCTGGGCACCTCTGGGTGGCTCCGGGTGGCTCTGAGTGGCCTCGGGTGTCCCTGGATGGCGCTGGGTGGCCGGGATGTGTCCTGGGGGTCCCAGTGGGATCCCGGCTCTGTGCTGGGGCTCCCAGCGGATCCCAAGGGATCCGGGACCTGCTCTGGGACCACCTGGGGGATCCCTGAGGGACCTGGGGGGATCTGGGGGGATCTGGGTTCCCCTCTAGGACAGATGGGGATCCCGCAGGGTTTGGGATCCCCTCGGGAGCCTCCGGGGGATCCCTGCGGGACGGCTGGGGGGGACCTTGGGACCGGGACCGGGACTGGTGCCAGGTTTGGGACCGGGACCGGGATTAAGGCCAGAATTGGGATCGGGACTGGGACCAGGCTTGGAAATGGGGCTGGGATTGTGGCCGATACCGGGATCGGGACTGTGACCGGGACCGGGATTTGGCGCCAGGTTTGGAACCGGGACCGGAATCGGGACCCCAAAAACTCCCACCGCCCGCTCCGATTGGTCCGCTCTCACCACGCCTCTTTCCCCTCCAGCCAATGGAAGCACAGGGACGTGGCGCTGCCTCCGAGCTGCCGCTTTCTGATTGGCGGGAGTTCGACCTTCGGGCGGAGCGCGTTTTGATTGGTCGAGGCGCGGGCGCTGAGGGAGGCGATTGGCTGGGGAGGGGAGGGCGGAAGTGGAGAGGCGGGGCCGGGAAAGATGCAGGTGCGGACCGGGAGCGGGACCGGGATCGGAAACGGGACCGGGAGCGGGGAAGGGACCGGGATCGGAGGCGGGAGCGGGATCGGAAACGGGAGCGAGAGCGGGGAAGGGTCCGGGATCGGGTCCAGGCGCGGGGCAGCGGGGACAGCCCGGGCCTGGCGCTGGAGCGGAGGCTCCCGGTGCCGCTGCCGGTGCCGCTGCCGGTGCCGCTCCCGGTGCCGCTCCCGGTGCCGGTTCCGGTGCCGGTTCCGGTGCCAGTTCCGGTGCCGGTTCCGGTTGCCGCAGCCCCTGCCGTGTTCTCCCCGCAGGCTCCCCAGGACTACCGGAATGTGCCCATCGACATCCAGACCAGCAAGCTCCTGGGTACGGGAACGAACCCGGGCTCCGGGCAGGAACCGGGATTTGTCCCGGTTATCCCAGCCCGGTTCCCGCCATTCCCTCCGGCTGGGGATCCGTCCCAGGCTTTGGGAAGAGACTCGGGAATTCCTCGCGCTGTTTGTGCCCCGTGTCCCCGGAGCCCGGGACTGTCCCCATGTCCCCGTGTCCCCCCGGTGATGGCACTGTCCCCATGTCCCCGTGTCCCCATGCAGACTGGCTGCTGGACCGGCGGCACTGCGGGCGGCTCTGTCCGTGTCCCTGCAGTGTCACTGTCCCCATGTCCCCATGTCCCCGTGTCCCCATGCAGACTGGCTGCTGGACCGGCGGCACTGCGGGCGGCTCTGTCCGTGTCCCTGCAGTGTCCCCATGTCCCCATGTCCCCGTGTCCCCAGACTGGCTGCTGGACCGGCGGCACTGCGGGCGGCTCTGTCCGTGTCCCTGCAGTGTCCCCATGTCCCCATGTCCCCGTGTCCCCATGCAGACTGGCTGCTGGACCGGCGGCACTGCGGGCGGCGCTGGCCCGCGCAGGTGGCGCAGGTGCGGGAGCGGATCCGGGCGGCGCTGCAGGACATGCCCGAGCACCCCGAGATCCGAGAGCTGCTCCAGGGCTCCTGTCAGTGCTCCGGGACCGGGACTTGGCGGTTTGGGCTCGGGGTTTGGGGTCTGGGGTCGGGGTTTGGGGCTTGGGGTTTGGGAATTGGAAATCGGGGTTGGCATTTAGGAACTGAGGGTTTGGGGTTTGGGGGTTTGGGAACTGGGGTCTGGGATCGAGGTTTGGGAACTGAGGGTTTGGGGTTTTGGGTTTTGGGTTTGGGGTTTGGAGATTCAGGGTTTGGCGTTTGGGATTTGGGGTCTCAGGTTTGGGGATTCCAGATTGGGGGTTTGGGATTTGGGGATTTTGGATTTGGGGTTTGGGGATGGGTCTCCCCCCCGCAGAGCCAGGATTTGGGGTGGGAGGGTTGTTCACAAAGGGGTGGTGGTGAAGGAACTGAGGAACCCCCCAAAACCTCCTGGGGGTCCCCTAAAACCTCCCAGGGATCCCCCAAAGCCCCCCAGGGACCCCCTGACCCCATTGTTCCCCCCAGACCTGCACTATTTCCACTGCCTGCGCATCGTGGAGATCCTCAAGGGCACCGAGGCCTCCACCAAGAACCTCTTTGGGCGCTACTCGTCCCAGAGGATGAAGGTGGGAGCGCCCTCCTCTTCCTCCTCATTCTCTTCTTCCTCCTCCTCCTCTTCCTCATCCTCCTCACCCTCGTGTCTGTCCCCAGGACTGGCAGGAGATCGTGTCCCTCTATGAGAAGGACAACGCCTACCTGGGTGAGAGGGGATGGGAGTAATGGGAATGAGAATGGGAATAATTGTGGGAATAGCGTGAATAACGGAAATAATGGGAATAATGGGAACAACAGAAATAATGGGAATGGGAATAATGGGAATAATGGCAATGGGAATAGCAGGAATAATGGGAATGGGAATTCCCCGCGGTGTCCCAAAGAAGCCCCTGGGTGGGTGGAATTCAGTCCCCAAAGCGGGATGGACTGGGATGGGAAAGGATGGGATTTGTGGGAAAGCCAAATCCCAGTGGGATTTAAAGGGGAATTCGGTCCCCAAACTGGGATGGGATGGGATAGGATTTAAAAGTGAATTGAGCCCCCAAACCGGGATGGGACGGGACGGGATTTAAAGGTGACTTCAGCCCCAAACCAGGATGGGATTTAAAGGTGACTTCAGCCCCAAACCAGGATGGGATTTAAATGGGAATTCAGCCTCAAACCGGGACAGGATGGGATTTAAAGCTGAATTCAGCCCCAAACCGGGACAGGATGGGATTTAAAGCTGAATTCAGCCCCAGTCCAGCACGGGCCAGAATCCAAAGCCCGGGCTCCATGGGGACACCCATTCCCGGCGGGAGGAGCCCCCCGGGCCCCGGGGTGACCCCTGTCCGTGCCCGCAGCCGAGCTCTCCAGCCTGCTGGGGCGCAGCATCAGCTACGAGCTGCCGGCGCTGCGGCGGCAGCGGGCCCGGTGGCTGCAGGCGCAGCAGGAGCTGGCGCGGCGCGAGGACGAGTGCCAGGCGCGGGCAGGGGAGCTCCGCGAGCGCTTCCTGGGCTCCTGCCGCCAGTACGGCATCGCCGTGAGTGCCGGGGGGGCTGCAGCCGGGCGGGGATGGCCCCAAATGAGCCCCAAAACAACCCCGGGGAGAGCCTGGAACGGGGTGGGGATGGCCCTGAACAGAGCCTGAAACAGGGTGGGGATGGCCACAGATAGAGCCAGAAATGGGCTGGCAATGGCCCCAAATGAGCCAGAAAATAACTCCAGATAGAGCCTGAAATGGGCTGGGAATAGCCCCAAACTGAGCCTGAAACAGGCCTGAAACAGCCCCAAATGGGGCTGGAATAACCCCAAAATGGGCCCCAGAATAACCCCTGAACAGAGCCTAAATCAGCCCTGAAATAACCCCAAATGGGCCCCAAAATAACCCCAAACAAACCCTAAATCAGCCCTGAAATAACCCCAAATGGGCCCCAAAATAACCCCAAACAAACCCTAAATCAGCCCTGAAATAACCCCAAATGAGCCCCAAAATAACCCCAAACAAACCCTAAATCAGCCCTGAAATAACCCCAAATGGGCCACAGAACAACCCCAAACAGACTCTAAAGCTGTTGTCCCCAAGTGTCCCCATGGTGTCCCCAGCATGTCCCCAAGTGTCCCCTCGGTGTCCCCAGAATGTCCCCCAGTGTCTCCTCAGTGTCCCCAACATGTCCCCAAGTGTCCCCGTGGTGTCCCCAAGGTGTCCCCAAGGGTCCCAGCATGTCCCCAAGTGTCCCCGTGGTGTCCCCAAGGTGTCCCCAAGTGTCCCAGCATGTGCCCAAGTGTCCCCGCGTGTCCCCTGGGTGTCCCCAGGGCGAGGACGTGCGCCGGGAGCTGCTGGCCCAGGTGCAGGCGCTGCCGTCGCTGCTGTCCCGCGTCGGGGACGGCGCCAGCGCCCTCGGGGACGCCATCGAGCTGTACCAGGCCTGCGTGGGCTTCGTGTGCGACAGGTGGGGACAGCCCTGACACCCCCCAAACAGCCCTGACACCCCAAAATCAGCCCCAAACCAGCCCTGACACCCCCCAAACAGCCCTGACACCCCAAAATCAGCCCCAAACCTGCCCTGACACCCCCCAAACAGCCCTGACACCCCAAAATCAGCCCCAAACCAGCCCTGACACCCCCCAAAACAGCCCTGACACCCCCCAAACAGCCCTGACGCCCCAAAATCAGCCCCAAACCTGCCCCAAAACATCCCTCAGCTACCCTAAAACAGCCCCGGCTCCCCAAACTGCCCCAAAACAGCTCCTGGGCCCTCCAAACCCCGGCACTGCGGATGCTGAGGTGTCCCCATCCCTGATGTCCCCATGACCGATGTCCCCATGCTCCCCATCGATCTCATCCCCACTGCTGTCCCCATGTCCCGGTGCCATCCCCATGTCCCTGTTCTGTCCTGTGTCCCCATGTCCCTGTCGCTGTCCCCATGTCTCTGTCCCAGCCCCGGTGCGGAGGCGCTGCCGCTGCTCCGGCACGCGGTGTCCCCATGTCCCGGTGCTGTCCCCATGTCCCCATGTCCCTGTACCATCCCATGTCCCCATGTCCCTGTCCCTGTCCCAGCCCTGGTGCGGAGGCGCTGCTGCTGCTCCGGCACGTGGTGTCCCTATGCTGTCCCCATGTCCCAGTGCCGTCCCCATGTCCCATGTCCCTATGCTGTCCTGTGTCCCCATGTCCCTGTCTCTGTCCCAGCCCTGGTATGGAGGCGCTGCCGCTGCTCCGGCACGCGGTGTCCCCCATGTCCCTGTCCCATGTCCCTGTACCATCCCATGTCCCCATGTCCCTGTCCCATGTCCCTGTGCCATCCCATGTCCCCATGTCCCTGTCCCTGTCCCAGCCCTGGTATGGAGGCGCTGCCGCTGCTCCGGCACGCGGTGTCCCCATGTCCCTGTACCATCCCCATGTCCCCATGTCCCTGTACCATCCCATGTCCCCATGTCCCTGTCCCATGTCCCTGTGCCATCCCATGTCCCCATGTCCCTGTCCCTGTCCCATGTCCCTGTACCATCCCCATGTCCCCATGTCCCTGTACCATTCCATGTCCCCATGTCCCTGTCCCATGTCCCTGTACCATCCCATGTCCCCATGTCCCTGTCCCATGTCCCTGGACCATCCCCATGTCCCCATGTCCCTGTGCCATCCCATGTCCCCATGTCCCTGTCCCTGTCCCAGCCCCGGTGTGGAGGCGCTGCCGCTGCTCCGGCACGCGGTGTCCCCATGTCCCTGTACCATCCCATGTCCCCATGTCCCTGTACCATCCCATGTCCCCATGTCCCTGTCCCTGTCCCAGCCCCGGTGTGGAGGCGCTGCCGCTGCTCCGGCATGCGGTGTCCCCCATGTCCCTGTCCCATGTCCCTGTACCATCCCATGTCCCCATGTCCCTGTGCCATCCCATGTCCCCATGTCCCTGTCCCTGTCCCAGCCCCGGTGCGGAGGCGCTGCCGCTGCTCCGGCACGTGGTGTCCCTATGCTGTCCCCATGTCCCAGTGCCGTCCCCATGTCCCATGTCCCTATGCTGTCCTGTGTCCCCATGTCCCTGTCTCTGTCCCAGCCCTGGTATGGAGGCGCTGCCGCTGCTCCGGCACGCGGTGTCCCCATGTCCCTGTACCATCCCCATGTCCCCATGTCCCTGTACCATCCCATGTCCCCATGTCCCTGTCCCATGTCCCTGTGCCATCCCATGTCCCCATGTCCCTGTCCCATGTCCCTGTACCATCCCATGTCCCCATGTCCCTGTCCCATGTCCCTGGACCATCCCCATGTCCCCATGTCCCTGTGCCATCCCATGTCCCCATGTCCCTGTCCCTGTCCCAGCCCCGGTGTGGAGGCGCTGCCGCTGCTCCGGCACGCGGTGTCCCCATGTCCCTGTACCATCCCATGTCCCCATGTCCCTGTACCATCCCATGTCCCCATGTCCCTGTCCCTGTCCCAGCCCCGGTGTGGAGGCGCTGCCGCTGCTCCGGCACGCGGTGTCCCCATGTCCCTGTACCATCCCATGTCCCCATGTCCCTGTACCATCCCATGTCCCCATGTCCCTGTCCCTGTCCCAGCCCTGGTGCGGAGGCGCTGCCGCTGCTCCGGCACGTGGTGTCCCTATGCTGTCCCCATGTCCCAGTGCCGTCCCCATGTCCCATGTCCCTATGCTGTCCTGTGTCCCCATGTCCCTGTCTCTGTCCCAGCCCTGGTATGGAGGCGCTGCCGCTGCTCCGGCACGTGGTGGCCCCCATGTCCCCATGTCCCTGTCCCATGTCCCTGTACCATCCCCATGTCCCCATGTCCCTGTACCATCCCATGTCCCCATGTCCCTGTCCCATGTCCCTGTACCATCCCATGTCCCCATGTCCCTGTCCCTGTCCCATGTCCCTGTACCATCCCATGTCCCCATGTCCCTGTCCCTGTCCCAGCCCTGGTATGGAGGCGCTGCCGCTGCTCCGGCACGCGGTGTCCCCATGTCCCTGTACCATCCCATGTCCCCATGTCCCTGTGCCATCCCATGTCCCCATGTCCCTGTCCCTGTCCCAGCCCCGGTGCGGAGGCGCTGCCGCTGCTCCGGCACGTGGCTGCCCACGGGAACTCGTCCGTGTTCCGCTGGCGCACGGGGCAGGAGCCGCTGCGGCTCGAGCGGCCCCAGGCGGCCCCGCAGGCACCGCAGCCGCCCCCGCAGGACACGGTGCGTGCTGGCAGGGGACACGGGGACACGGGGGACACGGGGGACACGGGGGGACATGGGGGGACATGGGGGGACACAGAGACACGGAGGATCCCCCTGGCTGGTGCTGAGGTCAGGCCGTGTCTCAGGGGTTTGGGTTTGGGGTTTGGGGCCGTGTCTCATGGAGGGTTTGGGGTTTGGGTTTGGGGTTTGGGGCCGTGTCTCATGGAGGGTTCGGGGTTTGGGTTTGGGGTTTGGGGCCGTGTCTCATGGAGGGTTCGGGGTTTGGGTTTGGGGTTTGGGGCCGTGTCTCATGGAGGGTTTGGGTTTGGGGTTTGGGGCCGTGTCTCATGGAGGGTTCGGGGTTTGGGTTTGGGGTTTGGGGCCGTGCCTCATGGAGGGTTTGGGGTTTGGGGCCGTGCCTCATGGAGGGTTCGGGGTTTGGGTTTGGGGTTTGGGGCCGTGTCTCATGGAGGGTTTGGGGTTTGGGGCCGTGTCTCATGGAGGGTTTGGGGTTTGGGTTTGGGGTTTGGGGCCGTGTCTCATGGAGGGTTTGGGGTTTGGGGCCGTGTCTCATGGAGGGTTCGGGGTTTGGGTTTGGGGTTTGGGGCCGTGTCTCATGGAGGGTTTGGGGTTTGGGTTTGGGGTTTGGGGCCGTGTCTCATGGAGGGTTTGGGTTTGGGGTTTGGGGTTTGGGGCCGTGCCTCATGGAGGGTTCGGGGTTTGGGTTTGGGGTTTGGGGCCGTGTCTCATGGAGGGTTTGGGGTTTGGGTTTGGGGTTTGGGGCCGTGCCTCATGGAGGGTTCGGGGTTTGGGTTTGGGGTTTGGGGCCGTGCCTCATGGAGGGTTTGGGGTTTTTCCCGCAGATCGATTGGGGGGATTTCCCCACGGAGCCGCCCCAGGGCGGGGACATCGACTGGGGCATCACGGTGGAGCCCAGCCCGCAGGTGGGTGACGTCCCTGTGTCCCCCTGTGCCACCCTTTGTCACCTTTCCTCCCTCAGGGGGATGGTGGCATTGATTGGGGCGATGTCCCTGTGTCCCCAAATCCCCCTGATGTCACCCTTTGCTCCCCAGGGGGACGATGGCATCGATTGGGGCGATGGAGAGAAGGGACAGGAGGGGACGATCACAGTAGAGCTCAGTGCCCAGGTGGGATCCATCCCTGTGTCCCCAAACCTGCCCTGTGTCCCCTTTCCTCCCTCAGGGGGATGGTGTCATCAACTGGGGCGATGTCCCTGTGTCCCCAAATCCCCCTGATGTCACCCTTTGTCACCCTTTGTTACCCAGGGGGAGGATGGCATCGATTGGGGCGATGGAGAGAAGGGGACAATCGCAGCAGAGCCCCAGGTTTGTGACACCCCCATGGCCAGGGCTGTCCCTGTGTCCCCACATCCCCTGATGTCCCCTTTGTCACCCTTTGTCACCCGTTGCTCCCCAGGGGGACGATGGCATCAACTGGGGTGACGCAGGGGGACAGGAGGGGACGATCACGGTGGTGGAGGCTGGAACGGAGGGTGAGCAGGGCTGGGGGTCCTGGGGGGCACAGGCAGCTCCCAAATCCCCCAAATTCCCCCAAATTCCCCCAAATCCCCCCAAATCCCCCATTCCCAGTGCCCCTGGGACCCCCAGAGGGGTTTGGGATGGGGCAGGGAGTGGGGTTTGGGTGCTGGGCAGGGATTTTGGGTGCTGGGCAGGGATTTCGGGTTCTGGGCGGTGTATTTGGGTTCCGGGCAGGATTTTTTGATGCTGGGCAGGGATTTTGTGTGCTGGGCAGGGATTTCGGGTTTTGGATGCTGGGCAGGGTTTTCGGGTTCTGGGCAGTGTATTTGGGTTCCGGGCAGGGGTTTTGGGGTGAAGCTGAGCAGGCTTTGGGGTCCCACCCCGCCGCAGCCCCCGAGGGCGTTGCCCGTGGCTCGGACGCGCTGACCCTGCTGGAGAACCCCGAGACTCGGAACCAGTTCATCGACGAGCTCATGGAGGTGGGCGCCGGGGACAGCTGTGTCCCTGGGGGTGACCCTGGGGGTGTCCCTGACCCTGTCCCCATTGCTGTCCCTGTTGTGTCCCCGTTGCTGTCCCCGTTGGTGTCCCTGACCCTGTCCCCATTGCTGTCCCCGTTGCTGTCCCGCAGCTGGAGCTGTTGTGTCCCTGTTGCTGTCCCCATTGCTGTCCCCATTGCTGTCTCTGGCCCTGTCCCCATTGCTGTCCCTGGCCCTGTCCCCATTGCTGTCCCCATTGCTGTCCCCATTGCTGTCCCCGTGTCTGTCTCGCAGCTGGAGCTGTTGTGTCCCCATTGGTGTCCCCATTGGTGTCCCCGTTGCCGTCCCTGGCCCTGTCCCCATCGCTGTCCCCGTTGCTGTCCCGCAGCTGGAGCTGTTCCTGGCGCAGCGGCTGCTGGAGCTGGAGGACGCGGCGCTGGACGTGGTGGCCCTGAGCCAGTTCCAGGCGGCGCCGGCCGCGCTGCAGGGCCAGAGCCCCGAGCGCCTGCGGGCGCGGCTGGCCACGGCGCGGGAGCTGCTGGGGCAGCTGTGCTCGCGCAGCGTGCAGCACCTCTGCATGATCCTCGCCTCGCCCAGGTGCTGCCCGGCCCGAAACGGGCCCCGAATAGCCCCGAAACAGGCCCCAAACTGCCCCAAAACAGGCCCTAAATACCCCCGAAACAGGCCCCAAACTGCCCCAAAACAGGCCCTAAACACCCCCAAAACAGACCCCAAATACCCCCAAAACCAGGCCCCAAACTGCCCCAAAACAGGCCCTAAATACCCCCAAAACAGGCCCCAAACTGCCCCAAAACAGGCCCTAAATACCCCCAAAACAGGCCCCAAACTGCCCCAAAACAGGCCCTAAATACCCCCAAAACAGGCCCCAAACTGCCCCAAAACAGGCCCTAAATACCCCCAAAACAGGCCCCAAACTGCCCCAAAACAGGCCCTAAATACCCCCAAAACAGGCCCCAAAACAGACCCTAAATGATCCTTGCCTCGCCCAGGTGCCTGCCCTGCCCCAAAACAGGCCCCAGACTGCCCCAAAACAGACCCTAAATAGCCCCAAAACAGGCCCCAGACTGCCCCAAACCAGACCCTAATATACCCCTAAAATAGCCCTAAGCCAGCCTGTAAAATAACCCCTAAAATAGTTGTAAAGAAGCCCCCCAAACAGTGCTAAAACAGCCCCAAAACAGCCCCTAAAATAGCCCTGAACCAGCCCCCAGTCAGCCCCTAAAATAGCCCTAAAACAGCCCTAAAACAGCCCTTAACCAGGGGGACTCTGCAGTGTGTGACCACTGTCCCCTGTCCTGCAGTGTGACCCCGTGTCCCCTGTCCGTGACCCCCTGTCCCCTGTTGTGTCCCCAGGTACGTGGAGCGTGTCACGGCCCTGCTGCGGCAGCAGGCCCTGCAGGCCGAGCTGTCCCTGTCCTGCAGTGTGTCCCTGTGTCCCTGTCCCCATGACCCCACTGTCCCCATGACCCTGCTGTCCCTGTCCCTGTCCCCATGACCCCTCTATCCCTCTGTCCCCATGTCCCCATGTCCCCAGGTACGTGGAGCGTGTCACGGCCCTGCTGCGGCAGCAGGCCCTGCAGGCCGAGCTGTCCCTGTCCTGCAGTGTGTCCCTGTGTCCCTGTCCCCATGACCCCGCTGTCCCCATGACCCCTCTGTCCCCATGTCCCCAGGTACGTGGAGCGTGTCACGGCCCTGCTGCGGCAGCAGGCCCTGCAGGCCGAGCTGCTGCTGGCCAAGCGGGAGGCGCTGGGGCAGCGGCGCCGCCAGGCCCTGGCCGAGCAGGGAGCGCTGGAGCCGCGGCTGCAGCAGCTGCAGGAGAGAGCCCGGGAGCTGCAGAGGCTGGTGAGGGACGGGGGGACACCGGGAACCCCCCCCGAGCCCCCGGAACCCCTGGGAGCACCCCCTGATCCCCCCGGTGCCGTTGCAGATCGAGGCCGACATCTCCAAACGCTACGGGGGGCGCCCGGTGAACCTGATGGGCGTCAACCTGTGACAGATGAGGGACACCAGCCTGTGACACCTGAGGGACACCTGGCTGTGACACCTGAGGGACATCAGTGTGTGACCCCTGACCAGCCTGTGACCCCTGAAGGACACGGGGCGTCCCCAGGGGGTCCCGTCCCTCCCAGCCCCTCGGCCCACCCGGGGGTGCTGCGGGGTTTGGGGGCGTCGGTGAATAAACCCAAATTTGTGTCGCATCGGGGTGGAGGAGTGTGTGTGTCACTGAGAGGGACGGGGACAGGGACGGGTTCAGGCCAGGGACAAGGACAGGTTCGCCATGGGGGGACCGTGTGGGGCACAGGGAGCCCCATCCGCAGGGATCTGGGGGGTCCCGGTCCCGTGGGAGCGGATTTGGGGCTGTGGGGTCCCAGCTCTCGCTCCCCACTCTGCTGTCCTTGTCCCCTGTCCCCATCCCTGTCCCCTGTCCCTGTCCCCGCTCGGTGACAGCCGGGCTCCGGGAGCCCCTCATTACCGCGCTCCCGGTGATTAACGGCCTCATTAATTACCCGCCGCCTGTCACGGAGCCGCCGAGGGTCCCCGGGCGGGGGTGGGGGCACCGCCAGTGTCCCCTTGTCCCCTGTCCCCGGCCGCGTCCCCTCCCCCGGCCCGGCTGCCGCTCGCTCTCCCCGCCATTAAGGGTTTAATTACCAATTAATGTCGCTCCATCTGTCCCGCCCTGTCCCCGCTCGCTCCATCAGCGCCGGGACCCCCCCTGCCAGCTGGGGGCGGCTCTGCTGCCCCTCCCGCTGTCCCCGAATGTCCCCAGCTGTCCCCAAATGTCCCCAAATGTCCCCGCGGCCACCCCGGCCCCGCCTGCCCTGTGCGCTCTCCGTCCGTCCCTCTGACCGTCCCTCTGTCCGTCCCTGCGTCCCTCCAGCTCTCCTGGCATTGTTTCCCACATCCCCCACCCCATCCCTCCGTCCATCCCTCTGTCCATCCCTCTGTCCATCCCTCTGTCCATCCCTCTGTCCATCCCTCTGTCCATCCCTCTCCCCATCCCTCCGTCCATCCCTCTGTCCATCCCCCTCCCCATCCCTCTGTCCATCCCTCCGTCCATCCCTCCGTCCATCCCTCTGTCCATCCCTCTGTCCATCCCCCTCCCCATCCCTCTGTCCATCCCTCTGTCCATCCCTCTGTCCATCCTGCTTCCCATCCCTCCATCCATCCCTCTGTCCATCCCTCCGTCCATCCCTCTGTCCATCCCTCTGTCCATCCCCCTCCGTCCATCCCTCTGTCCATCCCTCCGTCCATCCCTCTGTCCATCCCTCTGTCCATCCCCCTCCGTCCATCCCTCTCCCCATCCCTCCGTCCATCCCTCCGTCCATCCCTCTGTCCATCCTGTGGACGGGAAGGGAATCAGGGAACAGCCGAGGCACCAGAGAGGGGAAACCCTCGGGGTCATTTTTGGGGGGCTCAGCCCCCCATGGGTGTGATGAGCTGGGGAGGCTCAGCCTGAGGAGTTCTGTGGGGGCGCCCCAAAACTCTCCTGCCCTGTTTTGTGACCCCTGTTACCCCCAACCCGGGGTGCTGGGGGGTGTTTGGGGTGCTGCAGGGTGCTGTGGGGTGCTGTGCAATGTTTGGGGTGTTTTGGGGCCGCTGTCCCCCGCCCTGTCCCCCCCGCTCGGCCCCTCTGTCGCCGGCAGCGCTGCCTTTGTCCCCGTGCCACCCGGGGGGCACCAGCTGTCACCGCCGGGGCCTTCGCGCTCCTCCTCCTCCTCCTCGTCCTGCTGCTGCCCCTCTTTGTTCTCGGGCTGCGGAGGGAGCCCTGTTTGAGGGATGAGGATGGGGTCCCGAAGGGGCGGTTCTGGTTTGGGGGCTCAGGGCGGGGTCTCAGAGGGGCGGTCCCGGTTTGGGGGTTCAGGACGGGGTCCCGAAGGGGCGGTTCTGGTTTGGGGGCTCAGGGCGGGGTCCCGAAGGGCCGGTCCCGGTTTGGGGGCTCAGGGCGGGGTCCCGAAGGGGAGGGTCCCGGTTTGGGGGGGTCAGGGCGGGGCGCTCCCGGTTTGGGGGGGGTCAGGGCGGGGCCCCGCGCGCAGCCGCAGAGCCGCCGGCAGGTGGCGCTATAGGACCGCGAATGCGCGACACGGGGCGGGGCTGAGGGGAGGAGCCACTGAGTGATGGGCGTGGCTATTTTCCTTTTAAGGATAATGTATGCTGTAATGGGCGGCGCTATGCAAATGAAGCGCGGTGTCGCAAGGCGCGTTGGGAAGGAGGCGCGCTGGGGCCGCGGCCTCGGGGGGAGCAGGGGCGGATTTTGGGGTCCCGGGGATGGATTTTGGGGTCCCACGGGGGGCGTGATGTGCCCGGGACAGGCTGTGCCAGCCTCGGGGGCTCTGTAGGGCTGGGGTTACCCTGAAATGGAGCAAAACCGGGGTGGAGGTCCCCAAAAAGGGGTGACCCCAGTGTGGGGTGTCCTTGGGATGGTTGTCCCAAGCCTGGGGGGGGTCTGTAGGGAACATCCAGAACATTTAACAAGGGACATTTAACAAAAAACCCCATAAATATCCCAAAACCCCGCCCCGACACCGGATTGGGCAGGAAAATCTTTAATTGTGGCTGGATGCAGCTGGGAAGGACAAACTTCATTAGTGCCTAATTAATCCCTGGGTGTAATCAAGGCTGGGGGCGGAGCCCAGGCCTGGGAAGGGGCTCCTGGCTCCATCCCAAGCAATCCCAAGCCCTGCTCCCGTTCCCCGAGCGCTCCCAGTCTGGAATGTTCCAGTGACTCACCCCTACCCTCCCTTGTTTGCTTTAATTTTGGGGTGGAGCGTTTTCCTGCAGGAGAAACAACGGGGAAGGGACTCTAGGATTTGGGGATCCCAAATAATCCCAGCCCTTCCCTGTCGCTGCTCCCATTCCCTGAGCCCTCCCAGCCCGGAATTTTCTGGAGACTCACCCGAATTTTCCCTTGCTTGGGAAGATTTTCCCTTTAACTTTTGGGGCTGGGCCATTTTCCTGGAGGGGCAATAATGGGGACGGGGCTCCGTGCCCCCCTCCAGTGGCACGAGGTGGGCACGGGGCCAGGGCAAGCTGTCCCCAAATAGCCCTGGGGACACCAAAAATAACCCGGAGGCACAGCCCAGCTCGGGTTCCCAGCTGGGAACTGGCACGGGAGGGGTTTGGGAGGCTGCCAGACACCCCCTGTTCCCTTTGGGGGGGATTTAGGGTGAGCAACAATCCCAAAATTCATCCCAGGGAGGGTTTAGGGCGGAAAACACCCCAAAAATCCAGCCCAGGGGGGTTTAGAGTGGAAAACACCCCCAAAATTCAAACCAGGGAGGGTTTTATGTGGATATCACCCCCAAAATCCAACCCAGGGAAGGTTTGGGTAGGACATGACCCAAAATCTCCGGGATCCGGGCACTTCCAGCCCCTCACACACCTTCCCTCGTCTCCCTGGCCTCTGCAGGTTTTGGGGGGGCACAAACAGCCTGGGAACCCCGGGATAACCTGGCCACCCTCACCCTGTTGAATCCCACGCTGGATTTTCCGTGTTATTTATTTTGTTTCCCGGGATGAAGCAGCGTCTGTGGCATGCTGTCTGTCCCGGCGGGTTTCTGGGGCAGGGCAGGGGTGGCTGGGACGGGCAGGAATGGCAGGATCGGCATCGGGATCGGGATCGGGATCGGGATCGGGATCGGGGCGGTGCTGCCCGAGCCGCCCACCTGCCCCGCTGGCACCGGTCTGGGCAGGAACGGGGCACAGGGATGGGCAGGGATCCCACACGGATCCAGGAGGGAAGGGCAGGAATCCCACAGGGATCTGAGTGGGAAGGGGAGAACAGGCAGGAATCTCAAATGGAGCTGGGATGGGCAGGAATCCCACACAAATTCATGTGGGAAGGGCAAGAATCTCACACGATTCTGAGTGGGAAGGGGAGAACAGGCAGGAATTCCACACGGAGCAGGGATGGGGAGAAATCCCACACGGATCCATGTGGGAAGGGAAAAAGGGTCAGAAATCCCAAATGGAGCAGGGATGGGCAGGAATCCCACACGGGTCCCTGTGGGAAGGGCAAGAATCCCACAGGGAACAGGGAAGGGCAGAAATCCCACAGGGATCTGTGTGGGCATGGGAAAACAGGCAGGAATCCCACACAGATCCATGGGGAAGGGTAGAAGGGGCAGGAATCCCACATGGAGCAGGGATGGGCAGGAATCCCACACGGATCGATGTGGGAAGGGCAGGAATCCCACACGGATCCATGCAGGCAGGGGTGAATGGCCCGCTCCGGCTCTGAACCCTGCCCTGCGGCTGATGTTTAATTAGGTTACGGGGTTTCAGGCTGCTTTAGGGGTTGATGACCCTGGAAGGGAAAGGAAGGGCCAGGGCCTGTTGCCAGCAGCGCTTTTCCACCTTTTTTCACACCCGGCCCGGAGCAGGTTTCTGGGCAGCCGAGGTGGTTGGGAAGGGCACGAGCCTGGCCCTCACCTGCTGACACCCAGCAGTCACTAACACCGGGGCTGTGACCCCCAGATCTCCCTCCATGCCCGAGGCCTGTGGGTGCCCCTGGGGGAACAAGACTGAGGAGCGGCCTCGGGAGCGGCTCCGGGCGCGGTGCGGGCCCCGCCGGGGGTGCGGCCCCCTCAGGCCCCGCCATGGCGGCCTCGCCCCGCTCAGGGCCCGGGCCGCCCGTTGCCGTGGCAACCGCTGCGGGGCGCTGAAGGGGCGGTGCCGCAACGATTGGTGAACGCCGCTGCCACTCAAGGGCGCGAATCCTGCGCGTCGTCTCATTGGTTTGCGCCGCTGTCATTCAGTGAAGGCTTTGAGCGCCATTGGGTGGACATGCTGTCAATCAATCACAGAGCGGGGGACAGCCGCTCTTGTCAGTTTCTCATTTCCCATTGGCTTGGCTGCGCCGAGCGCGAGAGCCGCCCGCGCCTCCTCGCGTGCCAATTGGTCAGCTCGCTTGCCAATCAAAGCGGCGCCGGGGAGGCGGGAGGAACTCTCCGCCGCCCGCTTCCCATTGGCCCGCGCCTCGCTCCCGCCTGCCCTCGGCGGGCGGTGATTGGCGGCGGCGCCGCGCGAGGCGGGCGGGGGGGGGCGGTTGGGCCGGGGCGGGGAGCGGGAGCGGCGGCGGCGGCGGGGCCGGAGCGGCGGCGGAGCCCGGCGGGTACCGGCGGGGGCGGAATCTGTGGCGGCGGAGGGTGCGGGGAGGCGGTGGCGGCGTGCGGGTGGTGGTGGCGGTGGCGCGCGCGGGGCGGGGCCGGGCGGGCGGCGCCGAGGGGGACGGCGAGGCCGCGGGAGCGCGCGCGCGGGTGGGGCGGGGTCACGTGGCCGCGCCGGGGGGGTGTGTGTGTGTGTGTGTGTGTGTGTGTGTGTGTGAGGTCACGTGGGGCCTTAAAGGGCCCCGGGAACGGGGAGCGCACGTGGAGCCCACGGGGACCCCCAAAATCCGGGAAACCCCCCAAAACCGGGAAACCCCAAAATCCGGGAAACCCCCCCAGAACCGGGCACCCCCCACGCTCGGGATCCCCCGGCCCAGCGCTCCGCTCCGCGGGAGCCGCCCCGGCGCGCTGTGGGCGGCGGGAGCGGCGCGGGGCGGGCCCGGGAGCGGGGCAGGTGCTCCGTGGAACGGCCCCGGCCCGGCCGGAGCCGCGCTGAGCAGGGCCGGGGCACCGGATTCCTCCGGGCCGCGGGAAGCTGACGCGCCGGCCTAAGAATAGCGCGGGCCGGGGCCGCGGCCGGAGGTAACGCGGCCGGGGCAGCGGGCCCGGGATCGCGGTGAAAGCCCCGGGACCGGCGGGGGAAGGCGCGGTGCCGGCAGGGTGGAGCCCCGGTGTCACCGTGCTCGCTCTCTGGTTACATTGCAGCTGCTGATGAAATCGCAGCCGCCAGCGTTGGAGTCTGGACCTTCCCATGCTCGGGACCTTTGACTCATAGCAGGCTCCTGCAGAGGAGGAGGAGGAGGAGGAGGAGAGGAAGGAGAGGCAGAGGAGGGAGCGGAGCCGGGCCGGAGCGGGGCAGCTGCGGGGCACGCACCGAGGCGCTGCATGAGGAGTTTGCGGACAGTAAGTCACACGGATCGCCAATTCCGCGGGATGAAAACAAAAGGGAAGGCGAGGGTGGAGCTGCCGGCGAGAGTTCTCGGCTTTGAACTTTGCTTTTCTCCGGTTCTCCACGAACCGATTTCCGGCCTTCTCAGAGCAAAACCAAACTAAAAACCTTCTGAGCGTTCTTTAAACTTTCCTCCTGGCTTTTAGCTCTGCCCCGAAGGGCAGAAATGATTGTTTGAAAGTGGGGCAGAGCAGAGCCAAACCCACCCAACCTGTTGTGTGTTGTGTGTGGAGGCTTCACCCTCTGCCAGCTCCTCGCTGTCCATCCCCAACCTCAACCCTTGTTTGTTTTTAGTTATTATTTATTTATTTTTAATTTTTCCCCTACTAGAGATGCTCTCCCTGAAGAAATAGCTCCTCGCTGTCCATCCCTAACCTAAATCCCTGTTTGTTTTTAATTTTTATTTAATTTTTTTTTAATTTTCATTGCCCCAGAGATGCTCTCCCTGAAGAAATCTCCGTCCCTAGCCTCAATCTTTGTTTGTTTTTAATTTTTTTTAAATTTTCCTTGCTCCAGAGATGCTCTCACTGAAGAAATAGCTCCTCACTGTCCATCCCCAACCCCAACCCTTGTTTGGTTTTAACTTTTATTTATTTTTTTTTAATTTTCCCCGCCCTAGAGATGCTCTCCCTGAAGAAATGTCCATCCCCAACCCCAACCCTTGTTTGGTTTTAACTTTTATTTATTTATTTTTGATTTTCCCCGCTGCAGAGATGCTCTCCCTGAAGAAATATCTGTCCCCAGCCTCAATCTTTGTTTGTTTTTAATTTTTTTAAAATTTTCCCCGCCGCAGAGATGCTCTCCCTGAAGAAATGTCCATCCCCAACCCCAACCCTTGCTTGTTTTTAACTTTTATTTATTTTTATTTGATTTTCCCCGCCGCAGAGATGCTCTCCCTGAAGTAATGTCCATCCCCAACCCCAACCCTTGCTTGCTTTTAACTTTTATTTATTTATTTTTGCTTTTCCCCGCCGCAGAGATGCTCTCCCTGAAGAAGTACTTCACGGAGGGGCTGATCCAGTTCACCATCCTGCTGAGCCTGGTGGGGGTGCGCGTGGACGTGGACAGCTACCTGAGCGCGCAGCTGCCGCCGCTGCGCGAGATCATCCTGGGCCCCAGCTCGGCGTACGCGCAGGCCCAGTTCCACCAGCTGCAGAACACGCTGCACGGCTATGGCGTGCACCCCAAGAGCGTCGAGCTCGACTCCTTCTTCAGCGCGCGCCGCCTGCTGAGCCAGGTGCGCGCCCTGGACCGGCTGCGGGTGCCCAGCACCGAGCTCAGCGCCTGGCTGGTGCACCGCGAGCCCGAGGCGCCCCAGGACGGCGGCGGCGGCGCCGAGCGCGACCCCGGGGCCGAGCAGGGCTTCGGGGACGAGCTGGAGGACCTGGGAGCCGTGGCGGCGCCCGCCAACGGGGACCTCACCAAGGAGGTAGGGAGCGGCGGCTCTGGGGTCGGTTTGGGGGTGGTTTGGCGCGTTTGGCGCTCGGGGATGGAGCAGTCCGGGAGCCGGGCTGGGTTTCGGCGCTCCCGGGGCGATTTTCCCTTTTTGTCGGCTCTGCTCTGGTGAAAGCAGGGGGAAGGAGCCAGGGCCCCTCGTGACTCTGGCGATTGGGAAAGCGAGCGGCTCGGCTGGGAAATAAACAGGGCTGTTGGGAAAGAGCCTGGCCCAGGTGTGGGGCAGGTGTTGGGTTGCTGGGCTGGAGCCCGGCCAGGAGCCTGCTCCTCCTCCCTCCGTGTTCCTCCCCACGCCGGGAGCCTGCTCCTCCCTCCTCAGTGTTCTTCCCCAGAATTCAGTTCCTTGCTCACTTTTCCTCCCCAGAATTCATTTCCTCCCTCAGTTTTCCTCCCCAGAATTCATTTCCTCACTCAGTTTCCTTCCCTGAAATTCAGTTCCTCACTCAGTTTTCCTTCCCAAAATTCACTTCCTCACTCGGTGTTCGTCCCCAGAATTCCATTCCTCACTCAATTTTCGCCCCAGGAGCCTGTTCCTCACCCAGTTTCCCTCCCCAGAATTCAGTTCCTCCCTCACTTTCCCTCCCCAGAATTCCTTTCCTCGCTCAGTTTCCCTCCCCGTCCGTGTGGGCAGAGCTGGGCTGGGCTGGGTTTGGTTTTCCTGCTGTCCCTGACCTTTGGGAGGGCTGGGATGTGATTCCAGGCCCCGGGAGCTGCTGCCTCGGTCACGGCACAGCCCGGGCTCATCCATGGCCTTGGGTCCTGCCCGGGTCAGGGAATTGGGGTGTCAGGGGTGGTTCCATGGCCTTGGGTCCTTTCAGGTCTATGGAATTGAGGTGTCGGTGGTAATCCGTGGTCTTGGGTCCTTCCAGGGCTGTGAAATGGGGGTGTCAGTGTTGATCCATGGCCTTGGGTCCTTTCAGGTGTATGGAGTGAGGGTGTCAGTGCTGATCCATGTCCCCGGGTCCTTCCAGGATTGTGGAATGGGGGTCTCAGCGCTGATCCATGTCCCCAGGTCCTTCCAGGTTTATGGAATGGGCTGTCAGTGCTGATCCACGTCCCCAGGTCCTTCCAGCAGGGCTCTGCCCTCCCAGCAGGGCACGGGGAGCCGCTGGCATGGGCTGCAGGATTGGGATTGGGGTTGGGGTTGGGATTTGGGATCAGGATTTGGGATCAGGATCAGGGTCAGGCTGTGGGAGCAGCCGTGGTAGGAGCGCTGCAGAGATGACGGAGCCGGCCCCGGGAATGCCATCCCGATTTCCCTGCCCGTTCCCGGGGGGCAAACCCCGCTCTGGGCCGGCAGCAGCGACCTTGGAGGGACGCGGGACAGGAGGCCGAGCATCCCCCGGGGCATTGCCGGGGAGGCCGTGCCCGGCCTCGGGAATTGTGGCACCGGGCGGATCCTCGTGCAAGGTCACTCCTGGCTGGGAGGCTCCGCCGCCCTTCCCCAGCCGGGGATTCCCGGCCTGAGGAGCTTTCGGCAGCGAAAGCAGGGACAGATTTTGGGAAATTCGGGTACACGGAGGCCGGAGCTGCCGTTTCCAGCGGCCTCCCTGAGAAGGGAAATCAGGGGCAGATTTGGGGGAATTTGGGTACACGGAGGCCGGAGCTGCCGTTTCCAGAGGCCTCCCCGGGCCTGGCCGTGCTGGGAGTGGAACCGGGGCCGGGAATCGGGGAGGGGAGGGTGGGGAGATCTGCCAGCTGCTCCTGCCCCGATCCCGGCTTTTCCCGCATCCCTACACGTTCTCAGGGCTCCGTTTCCCCTGATTTCCCCCAAGACCGTGCCGGACGTGATCTCTGCTCATCCTCAGGGCTCTGCTTTCCTTGATTTGCCCCTGATCCCGGCTTTTCCTCCATCCCCGTCGCTCTCAAGGCTGTTCTCCATTATTCCCCCCCAGTCCCGGATTTTCTCCCGTCCCTGTCCCTCCCTGCTCTGTTCTCCATTATTCCCCCCCGATCCCGGATTCCCCCCATCCCCGGCTCCGTTTTCCGCGGTTCCCGAGCGCTCCGGGCAATCCCGTCCGGCTCCCGCGTCCCTCCCGGGCCCACCCCGCGCCCTCCGGCCCCGCTTCCGTTGCGGGGCAGTTCCGGGGGGCGATTCCCCAGCCCGGCTCCCCCGGGGCAGCCGCGGGTTTTGGGTTTTCCCCCCGGGGTATTCCCGGTGTCCCCGGGCTGCGGATGGCCCCGGGGCCCGGCCTGGAAATTTGAAATTTTTCCATGACTTTTGCTGGGTTGTGCGCGGGCCAGGCGCGACCTTGCCGGGGGAATACGGGCGATATAAATAATTTTGGGAAGAGCTGGAACTCGCTCCGGGAATGCTGTGCGGGATTTTTTTTTTTTTTAATCTTTTTTTTTTTTTTTTCCCTTTTTGGGCGTTGCAGCACCCGGAGAGCGGGCGGGGCGGGAGGGGAATTATGAAATCCTCTTGATTTTTATCCCACGGATAAAAAAAATGCCCATTTTGAGCCGGGGCTAAAGACAAAGCTGGGATTAAATCCCGGCGCTTCCCTCTGCAGCATTGGGGGTGGGGAGGGCGGCGGAGGCGCCGTGCCCGGGGCCGTTTCCACAACACGAGGATAAAAATACGTGGGGCATGTGATGGGCTGCGGGGGCTCCGCGCCGTCCCCCCCGCCCCGCCCGGGGGATCTCCTTACACTTGGCCGCGGTTACCAGGGCCGGGCGTGCCCGGGCCGAGGAGCCCCGGGGCAGGAGGGGCGAGGGTCGCGCCGTGCGGGCCGGGGTGTCCCGGGAGCCGGGCCAAGGTGACCCCGGGCGGTGCCGGCTGCGGGCCGGGGGTCCCGGCGTTCCCCGCCCCCATCCCCATTCCCCATTCCCGGTGCGGCGCGGGCGGGGCCGGGGGGGGGGGGCGGCCCCGCTGCGCCAGGGCGGGGGCGCGGCCCGGTGGGCGCCCCGCGGGCGCCGATTGGCTGACCGGACGGCCCCCGCCGGCGCTCATTGGTCAGGGCGGCGGCCCCCGTTGGCGCTGATTGGTCGCGGCCACCGCCCGGGGCGGGGCGTGGCCGTCGGCGGAGGGGGCGTGGTCCGGGAGCGCCGCATCCCGGCGGGGAGGGGGCGTGGTCTGGCGGAGGGGGCGGGGCTTGGCGGCCGCCGCAGCCGGGAACGGCGGGGGGAGGGCGGGGGGGGGGCGGCCCCGCCGAGCCCCTCCCGGTCCCTCCCGAGCCCCTCCCGGCCCCGCCGAGCCCCTCCCGGCCCCGCCGCCCGCCCGGGGCCGCCGCCGCAGCCACAGCAGCATCCTCCGCACCGGGGGCGGGGGCGGCCGCTGCCGCCGCAGCGGGGCCGCGCGGGCACCTGTGGCCGGTGGGGCGGAGCGGAGCGCGGCTCCCCCCGCCGCCGCCGCCGCCGCCCCGGCCGGCGATGCGTGCGCGGCGCCGCGCCCCGGCCAGCCCGCCCCGCCGCCGCCGCCTCCTCCTCTTCCTCCCCCGGGGACCATGATCGGCGTGCGCCGCGGCCCGGGCGGCAGCTGGGGACATGAGAAAGGTACCGGGGCCGCCCCGAGGAGCGGGGGGCTGCGGGGGGGGCCGCGGGCAGCCCGGTGCCGGCGGGGAGCGGGCCGGGGCCCGGCGGAGCGGCGGCGGCTCAAGTTGCATCAGGTGGGTGGGAATGCGGGGATTTTCCTGCCACCCCACCCCTTATGCAAATGGCCGGGATGGCACCACGGGCTGATGCAAGGCGGGCACGGCGCAGCCACCGCCGCGACGCGGGCCCGGGCGGCCCCCGCCGCCTCCCCCGGCGGCGGGCGGGCGGCCATGGGCGGCGGGCAGGGCAGCGCCGGCCATGCGGAGCCCGCAGAGCCGCTCCCGGGCCCGCCCGGCCCCCGAGCCCCGGCGGCGGCCGAGGGGGGCCCGGCGGGTGGGCTGCGGGACGGGCGGGCGGGCGGGGGGCCCTGGGGAGGGGCCGCCGGGCGGGGACCCCCGGGGCAGGCCAGGGCGCTGAAGGAAATGTGGTCTGTCTTGCAGGACATCGATTTGATTGACATCCTGTGGAGGCAGGATATTGATCTCGGCGCCGGGCGAGAGATTTTTGACTACAGCCACCGTCAGAAAGAGAGCGAAGTGGACAAAGAGCTGAGCGATGGGAGGGAGCGCGGGGACAGCTGGAGGAGTGCAGGGAATGAGGTCTTGGATAGAATCCCGCTAGTTGATGGAGAGACCGGGGAGAGTTTCCCTGCGCAGGTAACGCCCCGGGCCGGCCGGGCTGGGGCTGCGCTCCCGGGGCCCTGCGGCTCTGCCGGCGCCCGTGCGGGGCTGCTCCGGAGGCAGAGCGGCAGCAGGGCTTGCCCAGGTGGCTGCAGGGTTTGGGCAGGGCCGTGTCCCCATGGGCAGCTGCAGGGTCCCCCTGGCCTGTGTGGCCGGAGGGGACAGCAGGGACAGCAGGGCTATCAGGGGACGGCAGGCACAGCAGGGACAGCAGGGACAGCAGGGACAGCAGGCTGGCCGGGAGCGGCGGCGCTGGTTGGCGCTCTCCCGTGGCCCCGAGCGAGCGAGCGGGAGGATGGAGCCAGCACAGGAGCACTGGGTGGGGCTCTGGCTCTTTTTGGATGCGCTGCGATCCAGCCCTGCTGGAAGGGAGCCGGTTCCTCCTCAGCGGCAGCTCCCGCAGCCCGCGGCTGCCATGGCCTGTGTTTGCCGTCCCCCAGGTGCCCGGAGCGGAGGATCAGACAGCCCTGTCCCTGGAGGAGTGCCTTAGGCTGCTGGAGGCCACCTTCCCCTTCGGGGACAGTTCCGAGGTGAGCCCGCGGGGTGGATCCCCAGGCTCTCCCTGCCTCGCTCGCCGGGGTTTTGGTGCCTCCCGTGCTTCCCCTGCAGCAGCAAATCGGGTCTGGAGGCTCCAGGAGGCTCCAGGCACCCTGAGAAACCACGCGGGGAGGGGGGGGCTGTGGTTAATTAAAACCTCCTGGCTTTGCTCCTCGTTAGTTCATGGGAAAGCGGGTGGGAAGGGTGCTGGGCTGGGGGGGGCTGCATCCCTGAGCATCCATCCTTGAACATCCATCCTTGAACATCCCTGAACATCCCTGTGCATCCCTGCTCATCCCTGAGTGTCCATCCCTGAACATCCATCCCTGAGCATCCCTGAATGTCCCTGCTCATCCCTGAGCATCCATCCTTGAGCATCCCTGTGCATCCCTGCTCATCCCTGAGCCTCCCTGAACATCCATCCCTGAGCATCCCTGAATGTCCCTGAGAATCCCTGAGCATCCCTAAGTGTCCCTTCTCATCCCTGAGCATCCCTGAGTGTCCATCCCTGAGTGTCCATCCCCGCTGATGCCCGCGCGTGCCCGCGGTGCCAGCCCTGACTGCCTGCCGTGCTCAGTTCCCAGCTGCGGATGTCTCGGCCCTGAGCGAGGCCGTGCCCGGGCAGAGCCGGGCCCCGGGCGGCGCCCCCGGCCTGCTGTCCCCTCTGCTGGCCGAGACCGAGTCGCCCTTCGACCTGGAGCAGCAGTGGCAGGACCTGATGTCCATCATGGAGATGCAGGTGAGCTCCGCGAGGGTGGAGGCGGTACCCCCCGATGGTCCTGACGGTGACGCCGCGCCGTCCCCGTGCCGTCCCCGTGCCACCCGGGAGCTGCCGGGTGGGACCTGGCAGCGTCCTCGGCCCCGGGGCTCCTCCACCGAGCCGTGCCCGTCTCTTGCAGGCCATGGAGGTGAACAGCACGAGCGCCGAGAGCCTCTACGGCGGCACGGGCGGGGACCTGCTGGCGTCCAACTACAGCCTGGCCCCCGGCACGCCCATCAACCAGAACGTCAGCCTGCATCAGGCCTCGCTGGGCAGCTGCTCCCAGGACTTCTCGCTCTTCAGCTCGGACATGGAGAGCCCCTCCATGGCGGGCGGCTCGGCCCTGCTGCAGCTGGCGCCCGACAACTCCACCGGCCTCAACGGCACCTTCGGCTCCACCAACCTGAGCGGGATCTTCTTCCCGCCCCAGATGAACGGCACGGCCAACGAGACGGCCGGGCCCGAGCTGCCCGACCCGCTGGGGGGGCTGCTGGACGAGGCCATGCTGGATGAGATCAGCCTGATGGACTTGGCCATCGAGGAGGGCTTCAACCCCGTGCAGGCCTCGCAGCTGGAGGAGGAGTTCGATTCCGACTCAGGTCTTTCCCTGGATTCCGGCCGCAGCCCCGCGTCCCTGAGCAGCTCCGAAGCCTCGTCCTCGTCGTCCTCTTCCTCTTCGTCGTCCTCCTCCTCCTCGTTTTCCGAGGAAGGCGCCGTGGGCTACAGCTCGGACTCGGAGAACGTGGACTTTGAGGAAGCGGAAGGGGCGGTTGGCTACCAGCCAGAGTACAGCAAGTTCTGCCGCATGAGCTACCAGGACCCGGCGCAGCTCCACTACCTGCCTTACCTGGAGCACGTGGGCCACAACCACACCTACAACATGGCCCCGGGCGCCCTGGACCCCGAGGAGCCCAAAGCGCCCGGCGCCGGCAAGAAGAGCGGCAAGGAGAAACCGTCGGAGCTGCTGGACAAGCAGCTGAGCCGCGACGAGCACCGCGCCCGGGCCATGAAGATCCCCTTCACCAACGACAAGATCATCAACCTGCCCGTGGAGGAGTTCAACGAGCTCCTGTCCAAGTACCAGCTGAGCGAGGCCCAGCTCAGCCTCATCCGCGACATCCGCCGGCGCGGCAAGAACAAGATGGCGGCGCAGAACTGCCGCAAGAGGAAGCTGGACACCATCCTCAACCTGGAGCGCGACGTGGAGGAGCTGCAGCGCGACAAGTCCAAACTGCTCAGGGAGAAGGTGGAGTTCCTCAAGTCCATCCGGCAGATGAAGCAGAAGGTGCAGAGCCTGTACCAGGAGGTGTTCGGGCGGCTGCGGGACGAGCAGGGCCGGCCCTACTCGCCCAGCCGCTACGCGCTGCAGTACGGCAGCGACGGCAGCGTGCTGCTGATCCCGCGCGCGCCCGCGCCCGCCGAGCCGCAGCCGCGCCGCCCGGAGCGCAAGCAGAAGGACAGGAGGAAGTGAAGGCGGCGGCGGAAGGGAGAGCTGGGACGAGGGCCGAGCCTGGAGGTGCTTGCGGAGGGAACTTTGATGCCTTCTTATCCGATCCTGTCTCCTGGGGCCGCGCGCGGCGCCGGCGGCGCCGGGGACTCTGCGGGAGCGAGCGGCCGTCCCCGAGCGCGGGACGGGGCCCAGCCCGAGCCCAGCTGCCACCGGCCACCCCCGGGGGCTGGGAGAGCAGGGACGAGCTGGCATCGCTGCTGGGGAGGTTGGCACGAGGTGGATAAAACAAAAAAAAAAACCACAAAAAAAAAAATCCCACAAAAAAAAAAAAATACAAACTACTGTTAGGAACTGGCTTTAAGTAAGAGAAAAAAAAAACAAAAAACAAGAAAAAAAAAAAGAGATTTAAGCGAATGGACTTCAAACCAAGTTATAGGAGAGACGTTTTTCTGAACTTCCAAAGTTCTGTGATTTCAGGTAGTTGGTTGTTTTTAATTTTTTTTCCCCTCTTTTTTTTTCTTTTGGTTCCATTTTGTTTTTTTTTCCCTTTTTTCCTTTCATCCCGACCCCGTTTTTGCCATCGGTGTGTGTGAGATATTCCAGATTTCTCCTTCCTCGATGGAGATCAGACCAGGGCACACGTGGAGAGACACAAAAAGTGGCGTGACTTCCATTAACCCTTTCCAGCCCGAGGAGGAGCAGAGCCGGGGGTGACTCCCGTTAACCCTTTCCTGCCTGGGGAAAGGGCGAGGAATCCATGGTGGGAGGGAGGAGCGGGGCTGCAGGAGCCCCAGGATCCCTTCCTGAGCACCCGGCCCCGCCTGCTCCTCCCGGGAAGGAATTTTGGGTCAGGAACAGCACAAGGGGAGCGCTGGGACCCCGATCCCAACCTCGGCCCCGGCCTCGGGGCCGCACCTCGAGCATCCAACAGCTGCAGGGCCCCGTCCCACAACCACGCTTGGGTTTTCTGGGGGTTCCAGCCTTGACTTTTTCCTCCCCCTTTTAGGGTCTAGAAGTGCTTGTGTTGAGTAAAAAACAAACAAACAAACAAAACAAAAAAACCTAAAAAAAAAAAAATTACAAAAAAAAAAAAAAGAAAAAAAAAAAGCCAAAAAAAAAAAAAAAGGGAGAAGCCCAAACGTTCAAAGCTGCTCAATGTTCTCTTTGCCATAAAGATTCCGTGTAACCGTGTGATCACATTATAGGATTCTCTTCTGTCCCTAGAGGTGTTGGTCTGACTTCCTTTGTTTTTCAGGAGGGGGGTGGGGGTAGTGCCTTGATCACTGTCAGGTCTCCACACCTCGGAGACCATCCTAGAGCTGTATTTCCATATAGCACAGCTGGGAGTGTTCTGACTTTACCAGCAACCAGAAAAAAAATAATAGAAATTAAAAAAAAAAAAAAAAAGCTTAAAAAAAATAAATAAAATGAATAAAATGAAAATAAACGGCTTTTCCGAGCCAGTCCTGTGCACGGGATCCAGGCAGGATCCCAGGGTGGCGCCTCCACCTGGGAGAGCAGCAGGGAAGGCCCGCTGGCACGATGTGTGTGGGTTTGTGGGAATGTTTTCCAGGATTTTTGGGAATGCTTGGAGCTGGGATGGGCTGGGTGGGGGCCCCGAGCCCCCCCGGCCCCCCGGGAATGAAGCACAAGTCGGGATGTGGGGAGGTTGGGATGGAGAGAGAGCCCTGTGCGTGTGGGTAAATTATTTCTTTTTGTTTCCTCTTAGAAACTTGTTTTGATTTGAATGATCTGTGACCTGTCAGGGAGAGAAGAGAGATTGTTGTGAGCACAGGACAAAAAAATAAAAACGGCTTATTCACTGTACCAGCCTCGGCTCCAGGGGTTTTATTGGCGATCTGGGGGGGAACTGTGGGAATTTGGGGATTTTCTGCCATCGCTGCAGCTCCAGGTCCAGCTTGGATGGGAGGGAGCTGTTCCAGCCCTGGAACAGGAGAAGGATGGAGAAGGAGGAGAAGGAAAAGAAGGAAAAGAGAAGAAAGGAGAAGGAGGAAAAGAAGAAAAAAGGAGAAGGGGAAGGAAAAGGAGAAGCAGAACACCTCCACATCAGCTCCGCAGTAACTCCACACTGGGTCCAAGGTGCTCCCCGCTCTCCTCCTGGGTGACGGTTCCCGATGTTCCTCAGGGAACATCCCGCCGGGGTCAGGGAGGGGGCCCAGCTGGCAGAAAATCCCCCAGGGATTCCCTGGGATGGGAAGGGATCCACTGCTCCTCCTGGGATCCAGCCTCCAGCTTCCCTCCTCTTCCTCCAGGAATCACCATCCTTCCCGGGAACCATCCTTCTCCAAGAACACTCGTCCTCCTCCAGGAACCACCATCATCCAAGAACCATCATCATCCTCCAAGACCCCTCCTCCAGGAGCCATTATCTTCATCCAAGAACCATTCCCCTGCTCATCCTCGAAGAACCTTCCTCCTCTTCCAGGAGCCTCCATCCTCCTCCTCCTCCAAGAACCTTCCTGTTCCTCCTCCAGAAAGCACCATCCTCCTCCAGGAGCCATCCTTCTCCAAGAACCCCCATGCTCCTCCAGCACCATCCTTCTCCAAGAACATTCGTCCTCCTCCAGGAGCCACCATCCTCATCCAAGAACCATCATCATCCTCCAAGGACCACCATCTTCCTCCTCTGGGAACCTTCCTCCTCCTTGTCCAAGAACCCTCCTCTTCCTCCTCCAATAACGCCCAATCCTCCTCCTCCAGGAGCCACCATCATCTTTCTCCTTCAGGAACCTTCATCCTTCCCAAGAACCATCATCATCCTCCAAGACTCCTCCAGGAGCCATCATCTTCACGAAAGAACCATTCCCGTCCTTGTCCTCAAGGAACCTTCCTCCTCTTCCTCCTCCAGGAGCCACCATCCTCATCCAGGAACCTTCATCCTTCCCAAGAACCATCATCATCCTCCAAGACCCCTCCTCCAGGAGCCATCATCATCCTCCAAGAAACCTTCCTCCTCCAGGAACCTTCCTCCTTCTCCTCCAGGAACCTTCATCCTTCCCAAGAACCATCATCATCCTCCAAGACCCCTCCTCCAGGAGCCATCATCATCCTCCAAGAACCATTCCCCTCTTCATCCTCCAGGAACCTTCCTCCTCTTCCTCCTCCAGAACCACCATCCTCATCCAAGAACCCTCCTCTTCCTCCACCAATAACTCCCAATCCTTCTCCTCCAGGAACCTTCCTCCTCCTCCTCCTCCTCCAGCCCTCAGCTCCCCTCCATCCCCTCCATCTGTGGGTCCCTCCCAGCCCCGCACTGCAGACAGGGGAAGGAACCGGGGGTCACTTACCCACGGGAGTGCTGGAGGCCAGAACCGGCCCAGAACCGGCCCAGAACCTGCTCCAGAACCTGCTCCAGAACCTCCTGCAAAGCTCTAACCTGGCTCAGGGCTCACCTTCCCTCCGTGGCCTGCTCTACCTGATGCGCACTCATCGCTGCAGGAAAGGCAGCAAGGTAAAGAAACCATTAAAAAAAACCTATTCAAAAACAATATTTAAAAAAAAAAATTAAAATCAGGATTATAAATCTAAAATTTTATTGAGACAAAAAAAAAAAAAAAAAAGTCAAAACAAAACAAAACAAAACAAAAAACCAAAATAAAAACTGGACAGAGCTCGGTATGAAGTTAAAATCCAAACACGAACTTTTACATTTGCACACGGATTTTTGCACAGGAACCCAAACACATGCTCATAAAAAAGGTTTGTACAATGCACGTCGAGATCCCACCCCTGGAGTCACTTAAATAGTTCAGGATTTGGGAAATAAATCTGATTTCAAAAATCAAGCCCCCCCCCGAGGTTCTGGGAAAGCAGCCCCCAGCCCCGTTTTGGGGGGAAATTGGGATTGATTGGATTTCTGCTTGTGCTGCTGTTGGTTCCTCTCCCTCCCACATTCCCTCCCTGCTGGCTGGGCAGGAAAATCCGGAGTGGGAAAAAGAAGGAGTGGTCAGAAATTCAGGAAATCTCTTTTTTTTGGGGGGGGGATTTCCCCCCTGATTTGGAGAAATAGCACCTTAGAACGGGGAAAAAAAAAAAAGGGTTAAAAAGGCAATAAAGGGTTAAAGTCCACCCCCCCCCCCATACAATGCACGTGTCAGGAGTGGCAGTTCTGCTGCAGGACGATACAGAATCACAAAGTTGCATTTTCACAAAGTCTCCCCTTCGTCCCCTCCCGCCCCAAAAATTCCCTCCCCCTTTTTCCCCAAAAGTTCCCCCTAAAAATCGCTCGAGGATCAGCTCCGGAGATTTTGGGCTTTCACAGTTTCAGTGTCTCTGTCCCCAGGTCTGGCAGCAATTCTGGGATCTTCTCCCTTTCTCCCTTAGGTTTTTTTTTTTTTTTAATCCATTGATTTTCTTTGCTGAATTCAGGTTTTAGTTTTAGAAAAAAAAAAACTGAATTCAGGCTTTTTTAAAAAAGAAAAAAATCAACCCCAAAATATGGAAACGATCTGGGAATGTCATCACCAGACCTCATTTCCCTCCTTGATTAAAAATGATTGAATTCCCCCCAAAATCCCTCCCTTCCTTCCCAAAGGAGAACACCAGGAAATAGCCAAAAAAAAAAAAAAAGAAGAAAATAAGAAAAGGTAACAAAGGGTAAAAAAAAAAAAGGAGAATAAGAATCCGAATCAAAAGACCTACACGCATGCTACGCCTTAGAAATGCAGAGTTAACACTATTGGGGCCAGGGCTGGGCTGTGGGATGGGCTCTGGGGCGCAGCAGGATCCATCTGCATCCCCAATCCCAATCCCAATCCCAATCCCAGCCCCATCCTGGCCAGTCCTTCATGGAAGGGGCTTTGCCTCCGCTCCCCCTGCTCTGAGACCCCTCCCCAGCCCAAACCCCCACCCACCCCAGCATCCCTGTCCCCGGGCTCTGCCTCCCCCCTTCCATCCCAGCGGGATCTGCCGTCCCAGGGGATCCTGTGGGACCGTGGGCACGCAGGGAGCAGAGGAGCGGCTGCAGGGCACAGGGCCCGGCCTGGGGGGCTCTTCAGGGCACCTCCAAACCCCTCCCGTGCTCACAGCCCACTCGAGTTCCGATCTTCTTCCCAAAAAATCCCCCAGAGCTGCCCGGAGCGGGGCCAGCGGGGCTTAGTTCTTGTCCTCCTTCTTGTCATCGTCCTCTGAGGGGTACGAGTGCCATGTCAACCTCTCCTCGTAGAACGAGATCACCACCTGCGGGCACTTGATGTTGGCCTCCTTGGCCGGCACCAGGTCGGCCTCGTCAGAGTTCTTCCTGTGAGGGGAGAGGAGAGGAGAATGGAACTGTCCTGATATCCCACAGACCCCTAACCCTGACCCCTAACCCCTAACG